GGGAAATCGACAACAACAGCTCTAACAACGATCACCAATTATATCAAGAGTGCCAAAACTGAAGGAAAACACACACTCCTGGCCTCAATCGACTTTCGTGGGGCTTTTGACAACTTGTGGTGGCCTGCAATTCTGCAGCAACTCAAGAATCACTGTTGCCCGAGGAACCTATTCTATTTAATCAAAAGCTTCATTGCTGACAGAAAAGCTGGTTTCCTAGTGAACAAAGTCAACTATACCTATGACGTCACCAAGGGCTGTCCACAGGGCTCCATTTCAGGGCCCGGTCTTTGGACTATTGTCCATAGCGAGCTCCTTACAAAAATTAATAACATCGAAGATGGCAATCACCTCATACAGGGGTACGCAGACGATACCGTCATACTGGTATCTGACAAAAACCGTGACAGGCTGTCAGTCCTGTGTAACAATCTATTAGCAAAAATTTCAAGCTGGAGTGCGGAGATTAACTTGCCCATCAATTACTCCAAGTGTTACTACATCATCTTTTCGAAAAACACTCCTCTTCAGAAGAGCCCTCGTATAGAGATCGATGGGGTAAGAGTCTCCCGGGTTAAGGAGTGCACATACCTTGGGGTTAAGCTTGAACAGCAACTTCAATGGTCTAGCCATGTCAATATGGTAGTAGCTAAGGCAACCAAGGCTTCGAATGCTCTCATTAGCATTGCTAAGAATACCTGGGGCATAGGCTATAAGGCAGCTAAACACATCTATCTTGGGGCAATCGAGCCCATTCTGCTCTATGCGGCCCCCATTTGGGCTGATGCTACCCAGAAAGTGTACATCCAGAAAAAACTATCAAAAGCCCAAAGGGTAGCTGCCCTCAGGATTTGCAGGGCCTACCGGACAGCCCCGACTTCTGCCCTTTTGGTGATTGCCGGTCTAATACCAGTTCACATCAAGGCCAGGATGATGGCTAGGAACTGGAAATTCAACAACCTGTTTCTTAACAATAACCCACTAGATAATATCAGGAATAATAACACACTTTTGGAGTTACCCAACGACCTTAAAAATGACATTTTAACCTTCGGGATCGAACTCAAGGACCCCACTTCAAACACAATGTATGACTATCCATCTGCCAGCAATAACATCTCTACTTACAATGAAACTAACGACATATCCATCTTCACTGACGGATCAAAAGACGACAACAAAGTTGGAGCGGCATTTGTTCTCTATGACCATCAAACTGGGAAAACTCATCGTTCAGCATTTAAGCTTGGTCCCCATTGTTCTGTTCCCCAAGCTGAAATTCTGGCCATTACAAAGGCTATTGACCACGTCTTTGCTGAATGGTTTCCTCATAGCAAATCTATCACAATATACTCAGATAGTATTACTGCGATTTACTCTATCACCAATCAAGGGAAACGGGGTGACAACGTCCTCCATATTCACCAGCTTCTCTCCAACAACAGTCACGGACATAATATCCAATTTAAGTGGGTGCGTGGGCATTCTGGCGTTGTTGGCAATGAGGCCGCTGACCGCCTTGCCAAGTCCGCCGCAGTCTCAACCTTGCCCTCCAGCTACAGCAAAATTCCTCTCTCCAAAATCAAGCACTGGAGCTATCAAATCGCCCTCCATCAGTGGCAAGAAGAATGGAACAACAGTGACACTGGAAGATTAACATTCGACTTTATCCCTGACATAGCTCGCCGACTGGAGTGGAAACACTTCACACCTAAGTTTGTCATGACCCAACTCCTTACGGGTCATGGCAACTTTCGCGCTTACTTAAAGCGCTTCAACCTCCGCAACGAGGACACCTGTGACTGTGACAATAACTCAATCCAAAACAGTAAACATTATCTGTTTGACTGTAGTCTCTTTGACGACAAAAGAAACAACCTTCTAGACAGCGTCCTCTATGAAGGTTTTAACTGGCCTTGCCCACTTAATGTTTTCATCGAAAACAAGGTCATCTACAGCAGACTCAATGACTTCTTATCAGCCACTGAAGCTCTCAACCCACCAAGGAATCTACCTAACACCAAAGACGAGCATGCAACTACGTGAACGAACTTTTCTTCCCAGTGTGCTTGCCTCGAACTGTGCGTGTTTTCTTACCCTAAATGGGTATCCTTCAGCCCTGGACAGCTTTTAGCATTAGCAACTGGCTCCATTCTGTCATCTGTCTTGTAAATATTTTGTGTAACTCCTGATTAATAATCTGTTTATTACTTTTTACTACGTACACGTGGTCAGCATTCATCAGCTGTTATGTTCATTGTCAATTATATAATATTGTCGGGTTCTTTAAATCTTAGTTGTACTTCCTTTATTGTCTGTTATAAGTTGTCGCGCCATCTAATTGTATATATTTTCTAGTATTTCCCTGTTAATGTATTCATTTGTTATACCACTGTATTTGCTTATTGGTTTAATAAATGCAAGCGCTATGTGTTCTCAACTTTACCTGTCCCAACCTCATCCCCTATTCTTCATAACCCTCACTCTTCCTTCCGAACTTTCCAACCTCCAGGTCGTACCTTTGAGTGATACCTGGAGGACCTCCCCTCCTTCAATTAATAATAATAATAATATAATCTCCATATGTTAACTGAAATAGAGATCGTTATTTCAGATTATACGGTCGAATTATTTTATTTAAATATCTTCAACAGAAAATATTCTTAAATTAAATTCAAGAAAAATAGCATTAGAATTAATTAACAATTTGGATAATTAATATTTCTAAGTACGTATTTTCCAAAGTTAAAAGTAATTAATCAAAGGAAGAATTGAAAATTTAAATAACCAATTGGATATTGCCACGTTTATAATTAATTAAATTGGCGCAATCACGTAATATATTTATAATTTTGTAAATACAGTATTTCCGTTTTCATAATTTAAATACAATAATTAAATAATGTATTTGTATTTTCTTATACCTTATCTATATAAGAAAATATAAACGTGTACAGTACAAACATGTGTATTAAACATATTCGATTTCGCTAAAAAAAAAAAAAAAAAAAATAGTAATAAAAATGACTAGCTCCCAGTTAACGGAAAAGTACTAAAAATTTAAATATTGTAAACAAACAATTTCGACCAATCGGCATTTAATAAAATTGAACCAATCGAAAGCCGTGTGTTATGTCACGTGATTTTCTGTATCTTAACCCTAATCGGAATGCTTTTATAAAGCGTCAAATGGGGTCATGATTGTAATTCGATGGATTTAATACTTTAAAGGATGATATTTATTTTGAAAACTCTTATAATAATGATTAAATAAGTTACGAAATAGAAATATAACAGTATAAAATCCTTACAAGAGAATCGGAGCCTACAGTTTGTTTTGATACACCGCCCACTTGTGTTGTTATTGATCTCGGAAGAAAAATAAAGAACAGTAAGAAACTGTTAGGAAGAAGGCCTTGGATTTCTTTATAAAAATTGTCCTAGTATCTTATTCGAGTGGATACTTAACAATATTCAAAGAAATCCATTCGTTTTATCTCAATATACTTCTTGTTTAAGCTGAATAACCCTAATTGGACTTAACTGAACCAGACGATCTTTGTAATTCATTTATTAACCGATAGAGGCGGTGCTAAAATTGATTTTAAAAAATTATAGCCAAATAACCTACATAAATTATCAATATTTAATTAATTTAAAANAGCATTGTAAAGTAAAATATAATAATAAAAATACGAATTAAACAGCGGATATGTCGTCATCGAGGTTAGTAAGGTCGTATGATTCCTTATAAAAGTATTTTTTTCTGGGTGTCAGTAATATAAGTAAGGTCTTGTCTGGTAGAGTAAGGCGAGACAAAGATGTGTCGTGGCAGATGTTGTCCCCAACGACAAATATCATTACATAGAAACAGCATTTGAAGGCATCCCTTGCTGGATCTGGTGACACCAAGGTCAATTCTGTCGTAATATATTGAGCGTATCAATAAAACAACTCATAAATTACGTCATGTAATTTTGAACAGGTGATGTAGGATTAAAAGGTGAATATGATTGGTTCCAGTTGGTGGGCGTCATAAATTATTGAAGAAAAATAATTTATCAAATTTTAATGCACTGCATTTATTCAACCAAATGAATAAAATTAACAGTAATAAATGATTTTTAATTAAAATTTTTAAATATTTTTCGGATATTTCCGACGTGTTAGTGATTTATGGTCATTTCGGTTGTTATGGCAACTGATGACGTTGCAACAAGACGTTATTACGAGGGATGTTTTGAATTTTTTTTTACGCGATTAAATTTAGATATGCAATAAATATAAGAGAAAAGATTTACAGCTTATTTTATTTTTTATATTCTTAGTTCGTTTGTATAGCCTATTTACAGTATACATATAAGGCTATAAGTATATCAGTATATAAACTAGAAAATAAGTTTTGAATTGATGATGTAGTTCAATTTTTAAACTAAAAATATAAAAGTTCAACTATTTTAATCATAAAAAACGAAATATTTTATTATTTTCTTTTTTAAATTAAAAAGTAAAATAATTACACCAATTAGATTTTTAAAATTTGAAATTAACCAATAATCGTCGTGATCGATAAACGTCATCAATTAACGTATTGATGTATTGATGACGTATATCGATCACGACGTTTCATTGGTTATTTTCAAATCGGAAAAAAACGGAAATATTTCTCTTCGTATTTCGTCACCGTTCAATTAACCAATAAATTTTTTTCATGAATATTTCATCAATAAAGTGTTAACCGATCTTTTTTTTAAAATAAATATTTCGTCGTGTTATCATTAGTGATCCCCAGAGGTCAAAAATAGGAATATTGGAATAATAATTTCGAGGAGCAGCTGGCATGCTGCGTATCGTATTTGTGCTAATTAAAACTCTCCTTTCGTCACATTGTCGCTTAACGATAAGAGTGTACCCATTAACAATGTCGTTGAGTCACTCAACAACACAGTAAAGTCAATAAGAAATAACTGAAAGTCCTCTGACGAAGATGCCTCTTTCGAAAAGGAAAGTCAATCCTGTTCAGATCCCAAAAGGCACGATCGGTTTCGCTAGATTGTTTCCCCCTCCTTTTTTTTCTTTTTTTTACTCTAACTCAAAATATAATTCTTTTTCTATATTACATAAATTTCATAACTCAAATTTCTTCAATTTTTGTTTATTAAAAATAGAAAAATAATTTAAATATTCTTCTCGATCTTTCTGCCTCTTTAATTAATTAACGCCTTTCTTACAAAAGCTTTTAAATTATATTTCTTGTGTTGTTTTTTTTTCTCCTAGACAATATTTTATTAAAACTGAACCGAATCTGCTTGCATTCTAGAGATTTTCTGTAAGATTCTTGAAAGATTTTTGCTATGCTCCTAAGCGAGATACTTTACGTCCCCCCCACAAAAGACTGTAAAGAGATAAACGTTTTAATGTTCTGAACAGAAATGTTTACAAGAAAAAAGCATTCTGGTATTCTGTACAAAATTTTCTACAAGAAATGAACTCTCGTTCTTCCGAAGCTTCTTAGAATCGAGAGAACATTTTTCTTATATATCTCCTTACATAGTTTTATAACAGAACTTGTTTTTATATATGTCATTCTCTTGTAATTAATGTTCTGTGCAGACACTACAACACGATGTTATATATGTTCCATAAATGTTTATTATATATACATAAATTACTCTATATTATTATTACTATAATATATTCTCTCTCCTCTTGTATAAAAGGTATATAAGAAGAGAGCATTCTTATGTTCTATTAAGTTAGCTTTAGAAATAAAACTTCTCTTAAATCGTGTGGACGTTCTATAAAACATGATAAAACGCTTTAATTTAACATTTTATTACGTTGTTACGATATTTTTAAAAGATTAGTAGAATCATAATTTAAATTATAAAACTATATTAACATAATTTCAAACTTTTAGAACATGTAACAGAATTTTTCCAGCTAAATTTTTAAAAAAAAGTCACACGTCTCGATTAAATGTCATAATTTTATATGAGCGCTTATAGTTTTGAAAAATAATTAATATAATTATGGAGACGAAGTCTTTATGGAAAGATTAAAAATGTATTTATATAAAATTTTAAACAAAAGAGATATTTTCGAAATTATTCACGTCACGTCAACTTCTATAGTGATGTCAATTAAGTAGTTTGGAGCAAACAGGAATTTCTCCACTATCTTAACGACACAAAAGAATTACAAAAGAAAGGAGTACGGGGGAGGGTCAAAATATATATGCCCAGAATACAAAATCGATATTAAAGTTTCTGTAATGTCTGCTCGTTTTTCTTCTCCATGCTATTTAGTTAATCTGATTTTTTACCATCTTATTTTTATATGTATATATATATATCTACTTTATTTGAAAATTTTAAACGTTTCTGTTACATTTTCTTTCCGGATTAATTTGATACACGTTGTTGATTAAAACCTTGTGTGTATGTTGTTGATTAAATTACACTCCATTTAAAATTAAGTAAGTTATATATTAATTTCTAGATTAACCGTTAATTTAAATTAGCCGTTTTAAAATATCAATTTAAATTAACGGCTATAATGGATGAATGTAATTAAAAATAAAATTTAAACTGAATGCAATTTAATGATAAGTCATTTTATGTGCACTTTTTTTTAAAAGTAGAGGGGGAAAAAATGACTGTCCATTTAGAAATAAATTACTAAAGAGACAATAATTTAAAATATTATTTTATTGATAATATTTATAAAGATCCTTAGATGAAACAATAATTCTAGGATCTATAAATATTTTTAAATTTAATTTTTTACATGGCCATGACTGTTTTTTCTTTATTAAATTGTTAAATATTCCATTGAAAATAGCCAAAATGTAGGGCATTCCTTAAAATTCTCCATCTTTTAAACATTATAAGAGAGATAGAAAGAGAGAGAATTATTAATTGGCAATCAAAACTTAAAAAAAATGACATCAAAAATTGGAGCACGGGCAAATACAGTTTTACAAAGAGAAAAAATTCATTAACAATGTATTTGTTTGCTTCATGGTTTTAAATTTATTTTTTTAAAAAAGCGCTCAAGTTTACGAAAAGTTCGTGGAATTTTTGATGTCACACTATATCAATATAAACATATCTACAGTTTAAAGACCGTATAAATGATTCTTTTCTTGTTTAAGAATCTGAATTCAAAACTTGTACAATATAGAAGCCTTTAAAATCTAAGTAATTTTGTTTTTCTTTTAAGGAGACATGTAGGACGAATAGGACTTCTCTTTTTTTTTTTCTTTTTCTTTTCCGGATAAATTGTGCGGTAGGAAATCAGTAGAATGGACGTTGGGAGAAGTGCAGAATGAGTATCGTGTTAAAGTACACAAAGTATGGGACAGAAAAAGGTGGAAGCCCATAAATCAAGGCAGTGGTTTAGCATATCTTGAGTACACGACTCAAGTGGGATCAGTTTGCAAGATATATTATACATATATTTATATATATATATAAATTTGTTTTAATTAATTCAGGTACTTGTTTGGAATCAAAAATACATCGATTCCTTAATGCAATACACCTGATAATAACATTAGCACAACGATATTGCACAATTCCTGTTCATTTATAACAGTAACAATTTCATAACAGTTTCTTTGGTGAGTTGTGACTATCGTTCTGCCTATTCAAAGACAAAACGATTTGTTGTTGATGTTGTTGGTTTTTTTTATAGTAATAGCAATAATAATATTATAATAATAATATACGATACCTCATTGTACTAACTGTAATAATAATTATGAGAAATTGGTGCTCGTGGATGGGAGTCACTATCTTGTCGAGACATTGTTGATCTATTGGTATATCTGACAACTTCCACACTATTTTCTTGTCTACCTGAAGTATCGTAATGGTCAAGTTCTGAAGCATCGTCAAACACGGAAGGCAGAGGATCTGTGATGTGTAATTTTGCTCTTTTACGTTCTTGTTGTCTTTGGAAGTATAAACGTCCTGCTAATACAACTAAGAATGCTAATAATCCAGCACTCAAACTAAGAGTAAGATAAAGGATAAATCTCTCCTGGTTGGCTGAAAAAAATTCCTTATGATAAATTTATACGGAAATCATAATTTTAATTATAATTTATTAAATCTGACCTTTCACGAAAGTATATGCTGATATCCATTCTGTCAGAAATCCTATTACACGATGATTTCGTTCGACTGTCGTGCAGTTTTCTGTTAATTCCTCAGTCGTGTATTCATCACTCTGGACATCAGGCTTATATGTTCCTTCGTAGTCTGAATAATATAGAAATAATACAAAAATTAAAATTAAATAAATTTTAAAGCAAGTAGAACTACATAAAATGCAGTTCTTCTTTGCCTTAAAAGCTTAATCACATTTATTAGTAACAATTCGAATAAGAAGGATTTACTAATTGTATAAGTATGTAGTGAAACATTATAAAGTAAATATTTCTTTATATCATTCTTGAATCTTAAGATTAATCTTTTCTCATATGCTTTAATGTTTTTCTACATTTAGTAAAAGATTTATTTGGAGCGCTAATTACCTCCTTAGTAGGCTACAACAAAATGTTTACCATCTTATTTCCTAGAAACACCCCATGGATAAGAGTGGTGAAGGCCATTTAACGACCTCGAATGAAACACCTGCACTTTATTTCTTTACATAAATTATTTTATATATAAAAAATAGCATTGCGAGTACCTCTAATTAAGAATTTTGGTCATATCTGCGAGGCGAAAAAGAAGGAATCCAATTTGATTTAAAATAATTAATTACTGTAATAACCTAAGCGTTGGTATCAAGAGAGAGGTCTATCTGGAGGTCATTTATTGATTGTGAATTAATATATCTTTCTAATATGGGAATATTTGATATACCTTTATCAGTGATTTCTAACGATGGTATCGACGTAGTGGACACGTCAAATGGGCGTGGTTCTTCGATGGAAGTTGGATAATCGCTATCTTCGTCAACATCTTTATCAACATCGCTTCCCAGTTCTAAGTCTTTTAATATTGCCTGAGGGACTGAAAGGGATAATTTGTGGTTATTTATAATTACATAGTATATAAATTTAACGAAATTAGAATAAATGAATAAAGTTTAAAGGAAAATTTTATAAGAATTTCGTTTATATGTGTATTAGATATAATATAATTTAGTTAATAAAGAATAGTTGTAAAAATTTTGTGAAATTTCGAGTAAAAATTTACGCTTTTATAAAGAAATATGTTGCAAGTGCAGTACATGTATGCAGCTTCTTTTTACACAGATTGAAGAAGAAAAAGTTTTCCTTTATAAAAGCAAAAATACTGACAATTGTATGAACGATAATACTTACCACAAGTATATACAACTTTCAGAAAGAGTCTTGTACCTTGTTTACATCCAGGATTTTCAAATGTTGTCAGATCAACTGATATAGAGCATTTCTTTCTACCGTGGCAACTCTTCATCACAGTTTCTGTAGCGTAACTCGCTTGGCAATCTGCCAAAACATGTCATCAACTAAATCCAAGTATTTGGTTTCAAATCAAATAATCTTACAGGATATTGAATATTTGATTTTAAACAAACTTCAATTATGGTAAAAGATAACTAAAATTTAATTTTAAAATGGTATAGTTACTTGAATAGTTAAATATTTATGAGAAAAAATTAATTATTATTCTTACCTTCTCCTGGGAGTCCAGGAAAATGGGGGCATTCTGGCACGCTACTGGTTGTAGCCCCGAAAAAGGCTGAATAGATAACAATTTTGAGCGTTTTATGGCATCTTAGTCTTAATTTTTCTCCTTCACAGGCAATTTTATTGAAAAACGTATCTAGGAATGTTTTAAAAAAAAATTTTATTTTAGAAAAAAATTACTTGTTTTTACTTACATGCAACAAATTATATGCTTTAAAGTCCTTAATGGCATTACTGGGTCGACATTTATAGGCAACTTCGGCATATTTCCTAACACCAGGACATGGATCTTCACCAAATGTTTCAGGGGTTATTTTGATGTCACAAACTCTCTTTTCTCTGCAAGCGGCTTCGACCACCTGCAAAGAAAACAAGTAAAGTTGTCATAACGAATACCCATTGAATTGTGTCGTGAGGAGAATTTTGTCAACAAGCCTAATCTATATTCTTTGGATATCTATAGAGAAAAGCAATATCTACAAAAAAGATATTGATATGCGAAATACATGTAGACAAAGAAAAATAGAATTCTGTAAATTTAACAATTATTTAATATATTTAAAATAGTAAATAATTTGCGAAACTTACTTTTAATGCATTAGGAACTAAACATTCTGAAATCTTATCTATCTCTTGGTTTGTAGAACATATTTTAGAATTCTCTGATCGTCCATATTGGGCGAAATATATGCTGATGACTGTGTTGGCCCAGCATTTGATATTTAATTCTTCATCGTCGCAAGCGTGAACTTGCATCGTCTTCAATGTGCCTGATAACAGAGCTATGAAACAATATAGGATAGAAAGTGAAAGTAAAGATAAGGTGCAAATACCCAAAGCTAGGCTTGTCAACCAATTATAATAAATGGCAGAAAATGTAGCTGGCGATGGGTTAATTGCACCTTTTACTTAAAGAAATTCTATTCTTTTTTTAATGTACTGCAACTTGGTTCAGTTAATGTTAATTAATTAACATAATTTGATTATTATTATAATTACGATGATTATATATTAATGTATCTTTAAGTTTTATTACCGTAATAAAATTACGATCGATTAAAATAATTTTTAACTGAAATTCATAAGTTGGAAGCAAATATTAACCAATGAACTGCTCAATTGAGATTACTTATCAAATTACACGGGAAGAAATTTGCACTTTATTGGATATTTCATAAGAAAAAAGCACCAACTCAATAACTATATTTCATTAGAGAGGCTTTCTAATCCTATTACTTAACATCTATCTAGACATTAACTGAAGATGATTTAAAAAAAAAAATTATAATAATCGAATAATAGATTCTTCTGTTTTTATTCACGTGACATCAATTTGTTAAAAGATATAGCGAAACTGCTAGATAATAAATTCTTTCTACAAAACGTATAATTGGATTTTCAGCTAGAAATAACATTAAAGAAAGAAATTCGTTCATAGTAAATTTACTACAGAATATAATTACCAGGTTTGGCCACAAAGCAATAACCTCCACTCCTCTCTCTCGCTTAGGGATTATGAGACATCAATGAAGCTGTTTCCTCTCATCACGTGGCATCCGAAGTAACAAACTAAATTTACAACTAATTTGAAATAAATTTTCAAATGCTTTTTTTCTCCTATTGAAATGAGTTTTTATGTTCTAACGAAAAAGTTTCGAAAATTATTCTCTAAAAATAAATTACCAATCTATCAATTTAGCTTGACTTTACACGGAAATAAAAATATGACTATCTACTGCCTGCCTGTTTATCGATTTATTATAATTGGAGATGAAGTAATGGCAACAGAACTTGGCTAAATGAATAAAGTAATATATAGTTGTTGGTTGATAAAATGTTATTACGGTTCAATATCCCAGTATTTAATATTATAGACTAAGATATTTATTCACTAAAACAAGGAAAGCTAAAGTTATAAATCATTCACGAATAGCACGACATGTAAGTAAATTCTGGGAAAAATTTCCAAATAATTGCGTAATATCCAGAAAATTTAAAATATTCTACAAAATTTTGTTGCTTAAACAAATGGAAGTACTTCATCATTTCTTTTTTTGAGTTCCACCTTTTCCTTGTATGCCTGCTTAAGCGACCACCTTAGGCCAATTACGTGTCTTACGTCAGCACGCTCTTCCAATTAACTCGACTGTCAAACGCACGTGATTTCCGACCCTAAAGCCACTTCCGGTCATGCGAAAGCAAAGAAAAGAATAATCATCAGGTGTCTCGAATTTATAATATGCTAAGCAAAAAAAAAAAAAATCCATTCAAATGCTAATTTACATATGCAGTAAATTAAATATTAAACGGAAATTTCGTAAATTGAAACTTGGCGAATTTTCTGAATAGTTAACCGAATAAGGTCGTAGGCGTTACTGAAAATGTCAAACCACCAAATATCAAGAATTTCTAAAAGTCTACGGTGATGAATTGGCAAAATTTAATTAAGACCAAACGAAAAAGTTTTTTAGAAATTTTCAAATATAAAATCGATAAAGACTTCTTCAATCGTCATTTTTACGATAATAATAATAATATAATCTCAAGTGATTAACTGAAATAGAGATCGTTATTTCAGATTATACGGTCGAATTATTTTATTTAAATATCTTCAACAGAAAATATTCTTAAATTAAATTCAAGAAAAATAGCATTAGAATTAATTAACAATTTGGATAATTAATATTTCTAAGTACGTATTTTCCAAAGTTAAAAGTAATTAATCAAAGGAAGAATTGAAAATTTAAATAACCAATTGGATATTGCCACGTTTATAATTAATTAAATTGGCGCAATCACGTAATATATTTATAATTTTGTAAATACAGTATTTCCGTTTTCATAATTTAAATACAATAATTAAATAATGTATTTGTATTTTCTTATACCTTATCTATATAAGAAAATATAAACGTGTACAGTACAAACATGTGTATTAAACATATTCGATTTCGCTAAAAAAAAAAAAAAAAAAAAA